AACATATAATGCTGATTCATTTAGAGCAGATTTAATTAAAATTCTTATGAAAACTGGAGGAGAACGAATTCCATTAACATTTATATTTAACGAGGCTCAAATAGTCTAAGAGAGTTTCTTAGAAGATATTAATAATATTCTTAATACTGGAGAAGTTCCTAATTTATTTTCAAAGAAAGAAGATCTTGAATAAGTTTACAATACTATTAGACCTATAGCAATTAAGGCTAAAAGATTAGATTCTCCTGAATCTTTATGGACCTTTTTTGTAGAGGGTATTAGAAATTCATTACATATTGTTCTTTGTATGAGTCCTGTAGGTAATTAATTAAGAATTAGATGTCGTAAATTCCCATCTTTAGTGAATTGTTGTACTATTGATTGGTTTACTTAATGGCCTAAGGAAGCTTTATTAGAGGTTGCTAATAAGTTCTTAGATAAAATACCTAATCTCAAATAAAAAGATTAATTGGCATAAATGTGTATGGAGGTCAATCTCTAAGTAGCAGAATTATGTGATAAATATTCAAGAGAATTAAGAAGATAAGTTTATACTACACCCAAATCATATTTAGATTAAATATAATTATACGCTAATTTATTAATTGAAAAATAATAAGAACATGGATTAATATAAAGGAAATTAGCTGATGGATTGGATAAATTATTTAAAGCTAATGAGACTGTTGCTATTTTGAAAATAGAAATGTAAGAAATATAACCATAATTGATTGAATAATCTGTGAAGACTGAATAATTTTTAAAATAATTAGCTATAGATTAGAGTGAAGCCAATCTTAAAGAAAGACTTGTTAATGATGAAGCTTAAATTGTCAATCAATAAGCATCTGAAATTAAAGTTATAGCTGATGAAGCTTAAAATGAATTAAATAAAGCATTACCAGCACTTAAAGAAGCAGAAGAAGCTCTATAAAGAATTAATAAAAATGATATTGCTGAAATTAAAGGATTTATTAATCCTCCTCCTGTAGTACAATTAGTCTTAGAAGCTGTTTGTATATTATTGTAAGAGAAAACAGATTGGAATTCAGCAAAGTCTGTTATGATTAGTAATGATTTTACCGAGAGATTGATGAAATATGATAAAACCTAGATTACTGAATAAATGTTAAGAAAATTAAGGCAAATCACATTAAAACATGAATTCGATCCAATATATGTTGCTCAGAAAAGTTAAGCTTGTAAAAGTCTTTGTATGTGGTGTAGAGCAATAGATAGTTATTCTAAAATTGCTAAAGATGTAGAACCTAGAAAAAAGAAGGTTGCCGATATGTAATAAAAATTTGAAGTAAAAAATAAAGAATTAACAGTAAAATAAAATGAGTTATAGAAAGTGAGAGATAGGGTGGCTAGATTATAAAAAGAATGTGATGAAACAGTAGAAAAGAAAAATGAGTTAGAAAAAGAATTAGAAAGAACCAAGAAAAGATTAGTAGCAGCTGAAAAATTAACATATTTATTAGCAGATGAAGGTATAAGGTGGAAAGATTAAATTAAATTGATTGAATAGGTGTTATAATAAATTATAGGAGATGTTTTTTTGGCAGCCAGTACTGTTAGTTATTTAGGTGCATTTACAGGATAATATAGAGAATAATTAATTAAAGATTCTCTTTTGAAATTGAAAGAATTAGATATTCCATTTTCTGAAAATTATTCTCTATCTACAACTCTTGAAAATTAAATAGTAATAAGAGATTGGGTGATTTGTGGTTTACCTAATGATGCAATATCAATTGATAATGGTGTAATTGTTACAAGAGCTGATCGTTGGCCTTTGATGATTGATCCTTAAGGATAAGCTAACAAATGGCTAAAATAATTTAATAAAGAATTAAAAGTTATGAGATTTACAGAATAGCATTTTTTAAAAGGATTATAGTAGTGTATAAGTTCAGGATATGAAGTTTTATTAGAAGAAGTTGAAGAGAAATTAGAACCATCTATTGATTCAGTTTTATAAAAATAGATTATTGAAATTGAAGGACGTAAACTCATAAAGGTTGGAGATTAAAAAGTGGATTATCATAATCAATTTAAATTATATTTCACAACCAAAATAGCAAATCCATAATATTTACCAGAAGTATTCATCAAAACCACTGTTATTAATTTCAGTATTACATTTGAAGGATTATGCGATTAATTATTAGGGGATGTAATGAAATTCGAAAAACCTGAAATTGAAAAGTAAAGAGATGAAATTATAATAAAAATGAGTAATGCAAACAAATAACTCAAATAAGCTTAAGATTCCATTTTAGATCTATTAGCAAACGCTTAAGGAATGATTTTAGATAATGAATAATTGATTCACACTCTTGAGGTTTCTAAATTTTAATCTTCAGATATTCAAAAATCTCTTGAAGAAACTATTATTGTAGAAAAATAAATCAATGAATCTAGAAATCTATATCATTCTGTTGCTCTAAGAGGAACAATTTTATATTTTGTCATCTCAGATATGAGTTTAATTGATCCAATGTACTAATATTCTCTACAATATTTTAAAAAACTTTATAATATATCCCTTAATCTCACTCCAAAGACTGATTTATTAAATGATAGATTGCTTTATTTAGAAGAAACAATTACTTAAACGGTTTTCAAGGATATTTGTAGAGGTCTATTCTAATAACATAGAAAGATATTTTCATTCCTCATCTGTGCTCAAGTTTAGAGATAAAATGGTTCAATTTCAAATGCAGCTTGGAATTTATTATTAAGAGATTAGATACCATCTACTCCAATCATAAACCCTGATAAGATATTTTTGAAAGATTCTTAATGGAATTTAATTTTATGTATCTAAGAGTAGATAACAGAATTAATTGATCTATCTTCAGATATCAAAAATAACATATTATATTGGAAAGAGTTTACTTAAATAGATGATATCTATTAAGCTTCATTTCCAAAATAATCTCCTCTTGCTGTTTGTACAACTCTTAATCCATTTTATAGATTGTTATTAATTAAAGCATTAAAACCTGAAAAAATTATGTTTGGCTTAACTGAATATGTAGTTGAATTGTTTGGAGAATTCTACATTAATTTAGCTTCCTCTTCTATGGATGAAATTTATTAATCATCTGAATCATAAACTCCTATTATATTTATATTATCTCCAGGTGCAGATCCTACATAAACATTATTTAAATTAGCAAAAGAATAATAAAGTTAAATTGATGTAATTTCTTTGGGATAAGGATAAGGAAAGAAAGCAGAAAATTTAATTTAAAAAGGATAGAAAGATGGTACATGGGTTATGCTTTAAAATTGTCATTTAGCAAGATCGTGGATGCCATAATTAGAAAAATTAATGGAATCACTTACATCACATCATATTGAAGTGCATAATAATTTTAGAATCTTTTTAACTTCAATGCCTGCTGCTTACTTTCCTGTAAGTACTTTATAAAATGGTTTAAAACTGACAACAGAACCACCTAGAGGATTGAAATCAAATTTATTAAGATCTTATCAAGAATTTTAGGAAACAGATAATTAGCAAAAATTATTCAAATAATTATTTTATAGTATATCCTTCTTTCATGCAATTGTATAAGAGAGAAGGAAATTTGGTCCTTTAGGATTCAATATCTCATATGAATTCAATGATTCTGATCTTGATATTAGTATATAGATGATGAAGATGTTTATTGCTTAAGAAGAAGAAGTACCTTGGGATGCTATGTAATTTATGATAGGATAAATAAATTATGGTGGTAGAGTTACTGATGATTAAGATAGAGTATGTTTAACAGCAATATTGAAAAAGTATTTAGGTGATCATATTGAAAATAATGTTAAATTCTCAAATAGTGGTATTTATTATCTGCCAGAAGATGATTATATCAATTATATATCATAATTACCAAATTAAGAAGATCCTGAAGTATTTGGTATGCATGAAAATGCTAATATTGTATTTCAAACTCAAGAGAGTTAAAAAATATTGGATATTATATTATCCATTTAACCACGTGTTAGTAGTACTAGTACTTAAAAATCTCCTGATATTATTGTAATGGAAAAAACCATTTACTTTTAAAGCAATCTGCCTGAAATTTTAGATAAAAATGTATGTAATTAAAGACATTATTAAATTACAGAAAATGGTAGTGTTTAATCTTTATCAACAGTTTTATTTTAAGAGATTGATAAATTTAATAGATTAATAGAATTAATTTAATCGACTTTGATTTAATTATAATAAGCAATAAAAGGTTTTGTGCTTATATCTTCAGAATTGGATGAAATGTATTTAGCATTTCTTAATAATTCTATACCTCCTAATTGGATGAAATAATCCTATTCAACATTGAAACCACTTTCAAGTTGGTTTAAAGATTTAATAGCTCGTGTGAATTTCATTCGATCTTGGATGGAAAAAGATTTTATTCCTGCTTATTGGATGTCTGGATTATTCTATCCTTAAGGATTCTTAACAGGTGTATTACAAACACATTCCAGAAAATATAAGATTCCAATTAATAAACTAAATTTTAAATTTAAAGTATTAGATATAGAACAAGATAGAATCAGAGATGAAGTTAAAGATGGAGTATATGTTTATGGTCTCTATTTAGAAGGAGCACGTTGGGATTATCAACATGAAACATTAATCGAATAATAAGTTGGTTAGATTTACTTCCCACTTACCATGATGTTTTTCTAACCAATGGAAGAATATTAGATTGGTGAAGAATTTTATAAGTAATATTATCTAATCTAATCTTATTAGTTGTCCTTGCTATAAAACATCAAACAGAACTGGAGTTCTCTCAACTACAGGATAATCAACTAATTTCATTTTATCTATTGTAATTTATTTAATCTTATCTCAAAGGATTTAATGACTAAAACTGAAAAACCCGAATATTGGACCTTAAGAGGAACTGCAATAATTTCTTAATTAAATGATTGATTATTTTTATTATAAATTATTTAAACATATGATTTCTATTAATTTTTATGCCTAATGTATAACAATAAACAATCATCACTTAAAATGCATTATTTTGCAAAGTGAATTCTAATGAAATCAAAAATACTGATCCTTTATTCTTTTTAGAACTTCATCTAAACTTTAAAGTGTTACTTCTTTAATACTTTCCTTATCTTAGAAGTTGTTCATGCTCTTTAAAATATTAATTAAAATTACACTGATTCTTTTACTATTAACAATTTTGTAAATTATACTGATTTTATTATTGTGAAGAAGTCTAACCTTCTCTGTAAATTATTGAAATTCAAGTTCCATAGACTTACTATATAAATATATGTATGCATCAGCAATTGTAAAATAAACTAAAAATATAGTTAAAGAAGAAATACCATTAATAAGATCTGAATATAGTGGTGATTCTTAATTAATAATCCAAAAGTGAAAATGATTTTGCTTTTAATTTGATGTTTCAACTTTAGAACAATATTCTAAATGATAATTAAATTTAGGTTCTATAGGAGTATCACAATATTTAAATATGTCTTCTATTTAGTTAGTATTATCAACAATTAAAATGTTGATATTTTAATATTCCTTTAGATCAATTTCTTCTCCTTAAGTTGATGTCTAAATAGATCCTGGATTTAATAAATACATTTGTATCCTTATCAGTGTCTTAAATCTGTTTAAGTTCAAGTAAGTTCCCTTTTAATTTATAGTTGGAAGTAAGTTCTTAAGTTTATTGAGATAATTGCATAAATTATTCAATCGAATCTGCATGAAAGGCTCCTAATCTTTTACGCATGTCTTACAATTTGTTATTTAAAATAATCTAATATTTATATTGTCATAATTTTCAAATAATATTCCAAGAAAATGTATATAAAAATCTATAAGTAGGCTGACAAGACCACCTTAATTAAGAGAGTCTAGACATACCAAAAATAATTATAAAGAACCATCTACTATAGTCTTAAAGTTGGGGAGTCAACCTAATGTGGGAAGTAATTAATTAAGTAAAACTCACAGAATTACCATCTAAAGTCATATAATATAATCCTACTACTGAAGTAACAAGAATAAAAAACAAATCGATTAGTTAACACACAAATGGAAATGGGATCCATTAATAAGTCAATTACTACAAATAACCAAATAAACGAGTGATCTATGACTCAACAAATTGTTTAAATCCTTAAATTAATCGATCCTCAAGTAATAGAATTAAGAAAATTCATTCAGTTACTTCTCATAATTGTAATAGTTTTATCTAAATTAATAAGATGAATGTTTTTTATAAAATCTTGAAGACCATAGTCGAAACAATATCGTTTAGAATGAAATTACAACTAGCAATGAAATTAATGAAGGAAAGAGATTATTTACAGAAAATAAGTTAGAAGAAGCTTTGAAAGTATTCTAAAATTATCTAAACAAATATGGTTTAAATCCAGAGGCTTTATATATATCAGGATTATGTTATATGTCTTTGGATTAAGAAGAAAAATATATTGAATAATTTTAGACTCTCATCAAGATTTTTCCAACATTTAAAAGAACTGTTTATATGTATTTAGCCTTAGCTTTTAGAAAAAACAACAATATTAATGATGCAATTAATGTGATTACATTAGGAATTAATTAGTTTAATAGATATTTTGAAGCATTGATATTTAGAGCTAAATTATTTTTAAAGTAAAAGAATTATGATAAAGCTATTAAAGATTATAATTCAGCAATGCAAATAAACTCAAGAAAACCTATTTGTTATGTTGGTTTAAGTGATTGTTTTAAGTAGACCAACAAAATTTATTAAGCTATTGAAGAGTTAAATAAAGCTATTGAATTGGAAGAGTCTTCAAAATAAAAATATATTTTGTTGAAACGATTTTCGATTTATTTAGATATCAAAGATTTTGAAAAAGCAAAACAAGACATTAATCTTTTACTGGAAATATGTTAAAATGATTCTGAAGTTTATTATTTCAAGGGAATTTTGATGCAAAAATAGAGTAACAAATATACTTAATAATAGAACAACTTCAAGATGCACTTTTGTCATTTGAATAATCAATAAAATTAAATAGTGAAAAAAAGCCAGTAACAAAATCTCTTTATGAAATTGTGAAAATAAAGATTGAATAAAATGATTATTATTCTGCGTAGCATGAACTTGATAGAGCATCTTATCTCGATGTTGATAAAACATAACTATAAAGGTTTGAACTCTTTGTTGGAGGAGCTATTTATTTAATGAAAAGAAAATTTGAAGATGGGACTCATTTGTTAACAGAAATGATCACAAAGAATCATTAAAGTGATAATCTCAAATTTTAAGCACATTAATATAGAGCATATGGATATTTTTGTTTATCAAAGTATAATTTAGCAAACCAAGACTTAGAATTATATTAAGAAACTCTTTTGGAGAAGGTATATTTAATAATACAAAATATAGGCATCTCTTTATAATAAACTAATCTGTCATGGTATAATTAAATATGAGGATAATGAATTAGATTAAAGTAAAAGAGAGTTTTTGTAAGCTCATAAAATACTACCAAATAAAATAGAACCATTATTTTATTAAGCAATTATTTTAATTAAAAGATATTGTTCAAGTCTTGAAAAAATGAGTGAAGAAAATAGAATAAAGTATTTAAAAGAAGCCTTAGATTTACTTGAAATGGCTGCAAAAATTTGTGAATAATCTAATTTGCTTTTCTACAAAGGAATATTACACTTTGCCCTTGGAAATTTAGATTAATCTGCATTAGACTTTGAATAAGCTATTGAAAAATCTGAAGATAATTAAGCATAACACTATTATGTTAGAGGTTTGCTTTAATGTTAACGATAATTATTTAAATAGGCAGTGAATGATTTTTCTATTTGTTTAAGTTTGGATTAAAATCATCCAGAATCATATCTTAATAGATATAAATTATTAACAATGATTGGAGATGTAGAAACAGCTTATTTAGATTTAAAAAAATATGTTGATTTAAAAGAATAATATACAATAAATTATCACACTGTAGGAATTCTTTATTTTTTAATTGGAGCTTATGAAGAAGCAATCTAAGCATTTAATAATTGTAAAACTTTATAAGGATAATATGAGAAAGTTAAAGTTTTAATTTATGGAAAAGAGTTAAATTTAGCACTTAATGAACTTACTATTATCATAGAAGAAATGTAAAATTAAGAGGCCATTATTGATAAACAAGTACTAACTATACTTAAGGAAACTAGTTTATAAATATCAACTAAAATTTTAGAAGATAGTATAAATGCCATTATTAAAATTTAGAAAAGCTAATAAGAAGGTTTGATATTTAGATAATCAGATATCTATTTTTATAAAGGTTTATTTTATACTTATTTGTAATAATATTCAAAAGCTAAATAATGTCTTCGCTATTCATATGATCTAAAAGAAAAAGAAACTAAAAAATCAAGGAATACTTCATTAATTAATTCAAATTCTCTTGAAGATTTTGATTTTAACAATAAGACATACAATATCTATGAACATCTTTATAATTGTGCAATTTTAGATGTTATTATAGGTAATCTTGAAGAAGCCTTTGAAACATTAGCTTTGCTCTATGAACATCTAACTTAAATTGAATTTCGAGTTCAATTATAAATCTTTATGGAATTATTAAGGGATGATTTATAAGATACACCTCCAGAAGAAGAATTTTAGAAAATATAAGAATTTTAATTATTCCCATAATAAAATAGACTTTGTTCAATTTATCCATCAATCTAATTACCTTTAAAAAAATATTCTGTCTAAATAAAGATGTCTTTTTGTTTGCCAATGGTTGAATTTCTTTCTTAACCTATTTTATTTGATGAGTAGCTTCTATAAAAAATATCTGTAAATAAAATCTTTATTTTTAAAGCCTAAGGTTGTAGAGAATAAACCAGAAGCTCCTTGGATTAAAAGATCAAGTGATGGAGTGATATTTACTGACAATATTTAATTTATTGATGATTTAGATCTTTAATCCACTGTTAGAAAAGAAGAGACAGAAGAAACATAACAAGAAGTTGACAATCTTTAAGATGAAAACGAAATATCAAAATTAAAGGAAAAACTTAAATTAGATGACTTTATTACTAAAAAATTGAATTCGATATTACAATAAATTGAAGAATGAATTTCTATTTAAAATAATTATATCACCTTAATAAGTTAACTCAACTTAATTTGATTTTGAAATTACGTACTTATTTATTTATCTTAAAATGTCACCAATTTTAAATTATTAAATTTAGTTGTTGAAGTAGAGAAATTGTTTCATTCTTAAGATTTTAAATAAGATATCTATGAGCATTTTCAACAAGAGTAAATAGAATTATAAATAAATTTATTTACTTATTTATGAAGAATTTTATTATTATTTTTATATAGACATGATTAATTTAAACTTAACATAAATTCTAATATTTTGTATATAAAACCTAAATAAGTAATATTAAAATGAATTAACAATTTATAATGTTGTTCATAACTTTTATTATAAATAATAAAAAATTACTTGTATGCAATTTTATGATATGAATATGTTAACAAAGATTAAATCAATTAAATATAATTTTAGTTTTCTTATTTTATTGATATATTTTTGTCCAAATGATGAATTAAAAAATATTTTTTATTAATTAGAGATTGTAATTAATTTATTAAAAAAAATACTAATAATTCTGATGAATATTTTTTTAATCTTGAAAAATATCTTATATAATTTAAAGTTTTTACATGATAAAAAAGAATATCAAATTTCTAGAAAAAAAATGTTTATAAATAAAAAGCTAATTTTCTTTGGTATATAATGTTATAATTATATCATATTATTTCAATATGGGTTGTGGATCTAGTAAACATGAAGAAGTAGACAATCCAAATAAGAGTAGTTAAATTGATTTTAAGTTTAGTTAAGGATGTTGCTCATTTCTAAATTTCTTCATCAGGTATGGTTGCTGAGAAACATGGATCAATAACAAATGAATACACTTTGCTTAAGCCTCCAATTGGAAAGGGTTTATATAAAGTAATATTATTAGGGGCTTTTGGAGAAGTTCGAAAGGGGATTCATAAAGTCACAAATTAAATAAGAGCTATAAAAGTAATTTCGAAAGAGAAAGCAAATGCAATTGAAGTAGAAAGATTAAGAATAGAGATTGAAATTTTAAAGAGATTAGTATAAGTTAATAGAAATGATAGGATCATCCGAACATAATAAAGATTTATGAATTCTACTAAGATAATAAAAACATATATATAGTGACAGAATTATGTACTGGAGGGGAACTTTTTGATAAAATATAAGACTAGCAAGCTTTTTCAGAAAGAAAGGCAGCAGAAACAATGAAATAGATACTTAGTGCTGTTAATTATCTACACAAAAGTAAGATAGTACATAGGTTTAATAATGTTAATAATGAGATAGAGACTTAAAACCAGAGAATATATTATATGAGGCAAATAAACCATAAGCACTTTTAAAGATAGTAGATTTTGGAACAAGTAGAGTGTTTGAATCTGGATATAAAATGAATTAGAAATTGGGAACTGTATATATAAATTTAATTGATTATAAGCCTTATTATATAGCACCTGAAGTATTGGAGAGAAGATATGATGAAAAATGTGATGTATGGTCTTGTGGTGTGATTTTATATATTTTATTATGTGGAATTCCACCCTTTAATGGGGAAAATGATGAAGAAATATTAGAAAATGTAAAAGAAGGTGAATTAAGTTTTGATGGAGAAGAATGGAATTAAATATCTTATGAGGCTAAACTGTTAATTAAGAAAATGTTAGAACGTGATCCTAAAAAGAGAATAAATGCTGAATAAGCTTAAAGAGATCCATGGATAACTACTTATGTTAAAAAGACAGAAATGAATTTACCTTAATTAACAAAAGTTTTAAATAATTTAAGAACTTTCAGAGTGGAAAAGAAATTCTAAGAAGCTGCTTTGACTTTTATGGTAAATTAAATGGCTACAAGTTAAGAGAAATAAGAATTATTGTAATAATTTTAGGCTCTTGATTTAAATGGAGATGGAAGACTATCAAAAGATGAATTAATAGTTGGTATAATTTTAATATAATATTCAAAAAAGGATATTCAAAAGTAATGAGTTATACTGATGCAGAATTAGAAGTAGCTAAATTAATGAAGTATATTGATTAAGATAAAAATGGAAGTATTGATTACTCAGGTTTATTATTCAAAAAATATCTAATAGAATTTGTTTTAGCTACATTTAATAAAGTTAAGCTTTTAGAAGATGCAAGATTAGAATAAGCATTTAGAATGTTTGATAAAGATGGAAGTGGTTCAATTTCTATTGATGAAATTAAAGGAATATTTGGATCTAATGAAACTGCTGTTAGTGATGAAGTTTGGAAAGAATTATTGGCTGAGGTAGATGCAAATGGTGATGGTTCTGTATCAATTACATCTAATTCAAGATCTCTTTTTAGGAATTTAAAGAAATTATCCTTAAAGCAATCAATGCTAATCCTTCAGATTAGAAACCTTAAAAATGACTAATATTTATGTTTCCATTATCTTTTCTATTTATTTTTTATTATCTATCTAACATAATCTCAATCTTCAATCTACTTAATTATTTTATTCTCAAACTATATTGTTTTATATTAACAAAATATATTTCTAATTCTTTATTATTATATATAAGATCAACTTCAAGGAACATTAAAATTAATGAAACTTAATAATATGGTAGATTTCTTGAATATATATAATATCATAAATCATAAGTATTTTTGTAATATTTTTTAGTAATGAGTCATTTCTGGCAGGTAGGATGGCTGTTTATTTAGTTTTTTTATACAATTTTTTTATTGCAATTTCTTTGATTTACACCTTTTTTATTCATCTTATTTTAATTCTTCTTTGCCAAACTTTGATGTACCTAAATTACTTAGATCACCCAATTCAGTTCTTGGAATCATTTAAAAAGAGAGAATACGATCTCTCTATCTACTTAGACTTCTTTTTAGAGATTCTCGATAACCACTGCTAGTATGAACGTGTAACAGCATTTTAATTAATTTATAGAAACTAATTAACTCAATAAATCAAAGAAAGAATTCTTATTTTAAATTAGTTTACTTCTTTAGTTCATACAATTATTGGAATATTATATTTATGGAGAAAATGAAGAAATTGCTAATCTATATTAAGTTATTTAAATTGGTATACCTTGATTTTAAAGTAAATAGTATAAAATAAATTTTCAAAATCTAAAGAAAGGATAATAAAAACAAATAGACTTTTTAATAGCTAAATTCTTCTATTATAAAACTTATTACCTAAATTCATTAATTAATAGAAAATAATTTAGTTATGATTCCTTCATAAGTATTTTTACTTTTTATTTGAATTAATTTAAACTTAACTCACATCATTAAGATTAAAATAAGAATAAATTTAGGTATTTTAGAGCCCTTTCTATAATTTTTAGGATTTGTATGTTTTTCTTATTAACTTGAATATTGTAAAATTTCTTTGGATATAAACAAGGATTTAGATTTGCCTTATTTTCTCTATAGGATTATTTAAACTTATAAAATTAATGTTAATAATTTTATTGTTAATTTGTCAGAAAACTCTTAACTTAAAAAGTGAATAAATTAATATTTTATCAAATTTAATATAATTTTGGTTAAATAGTAGATATATATATTTTAGGAAAAAGAAAAATATTTATATTTGATAAAATGCTCAAATAAGAGTACATATCTTAATTTGCATAGCGATTATAATGAAATTTAAAATTTATTCAAAAATGGTAAGGTAATTATTTAATATATCATATTTGTTGATATTATATTCAATTTGTTAATTGTTGAATGATTATTTTTTGTTTAATGTTTTTTTGATTGACTATAAAAATGATGATAAAATTTCATTCACAAACTACATATTGGGTATTTCCTTTATTTTAAAACAACCTATTTTGTTCTTTTTGCATATAACTAAAATTGTGATTGGTAAACCTAATATAATAAAAACCAATATAATTGAATCAGCCTTACACCAATCATAATTTTCACACGATAAATCTTGGCATTAACATAATTAATTTTTGCATTCATCTTTTATCCTCGAGCTATAATAATATAATTATAAATTTATACCTGTAATTTTAGTATTAGCTATTTAATCCAAGACAAGTATTAGAAATAAATTCAGATAAAAATTATCAATTTAGGCATAATCCTCTATTTAACTACATATATTATCGCACGATATTGGTAATAAAGGATAGGCAGTTTGAACTTCAAGGCATTTTTTGTATTCAGGGCAAATAGGACAGCATTATTTTTTTAAATTAACATAATTGTTAAATTATTCACAAGTATTTATCAATTAACATTTTAACTTAGGATACGCTGATTAAATATCATTAAAATTTTTTATCTCAGGACATTTACAACATATTTTTGTTAAATTAGAATAAATATTGCTAAGTTATTAACTAGAGTTTAATAATTGGAATGAATTTGTTAAAGAAGGATAAGCAAATTTAAGTTCATCTCATTTGGTTATTCCCTAACCACAACAATTATCACAAGGATTTTCAATAATTATTACATTTTTGCATCTTTAACATGCATTTGATTCCAGATATATTTATTTGCAGATTTTTCTGTACACTGACTCTCTGATAATTTTGATAGATCACTTGATCCAAGCTCTTAACAATAATCTACATTCCATTTGCATAATTCAACACTTTTAGATTAATCATTTCTCTTAATTGGTGAATTGCATGTATCTTTATCTTTTAGAGAGGTTTAATTTAAATGTATAAAAAGTTTCAGTTAATAAAATTATATTAT